TCCCTCCAGCTTAGAGAATGCTCCATTTCTTTTGCATGTGTATCCATATTGTTTACATTGCTCCATGGTGTCATAAGGCTGCTGCCCCCACAATCAGCTGAAAGTAGTATCATGCCATCAGAGTACAATCAGTCACAGAGTTTGTGCTGATGTTGTAGTCTCTAGAGCTTTCTTGGATGGAGTTTCTATGTAACCAGAGAAAAGAAATGAAATTCTTCCTTTTCATGTTACATATGCAGTACCAATTACACTGATCTTACTAAAATCGGTTATTCTTCTGTCACCTACTTACTCATAATACTATACTGAAAACACAATAACTTGTTATGCAGTACATATGTATTGCTTATTTCAGATAAGCTCAGAATGACACGTGAGATTCTGAGAGGATTTCTCTGGCAACTAATCATATTGCTATTGTTTCTTTTCTCTTTTGTGTGCCATAATTTTCTAATAAAATTGACGTTTAACAATCCATATTCCTTTTCTGTAGTACGATGAGTGGAGAAACACTGCTTGCAGCATCCCATTTTACCAGAGAGAAACTGGCTTTGAAATGTTCCATCAAACAGTGCGGTAACAAACCTAAGTTCTACTGAGTGAGCAATACTATTAACTTTCAACATTTCTTCAATGTATGCATTTTATAAATAATCCATAAAAATATATGGATTCCATGCAACATAATTCAGACAATACAATAAATATGTAACTGGGAACTGATCCTTTCATGGTGCTGGCCTATTTTCTTTCATTTTTATACATACAACAAATCTTTTCCTTGGTCAGCATTTTCATTTTGTTCATTCTGTACTGAATGATACAACCTTTAAAATCAATTTTGGTTCAACGATCAAACTCCTTGATTTTATTCTACAAAAATTAAAAAGCTCAGAGCCATGGAAATGAAAGGCGAAGAACTTTTTCATCTCCTCTCAAATGATTAATGACAGTTATACAGCTCAGATCCTCATGAAGAAATAGGACAGTGTGTTAGAGCTATCTGTTTTAGAACAGGTTCAAAGAAATACTTCTCAAGGCACATTTAAAAAGTATTGTATTTCTAAGAATATGCACTTGGAATATTTAAGATGATACAGCAAAGACAAAGTTCGCTTTCCATGCTGCAGAAACCTTGTGGAAACTAAATGTGTTTTGCTGGACCAGGTCCACATTGAATAAAATTTGAATTTTCTAACATATAATAATTAAATACTTGGTGATGACCAAAAGCTGTTGTCACTTGATGGCTAATCAGTGGCATGTGTTAAAACTACTTGGTAGTCTCCGCCCATTTCCTAAGGAATAAGTGTCAACATAAAAAGATGCCATTATAACTGGTACCCTTGTTGGCTGACTCAGCAGCCAGAGAATATACTATCTCCCTCCAGGACAAAGCCAAGGAATATTAGTTAGGCATTGTGGGGAATTTGTACTGCAATTTAATTTGTTCTCTGTGTTAATAATGTTGAAAACTGAATTCCTCTATCAATTTGGCAGCTTATATGAAAACTACATTTAAATAAGGGGGAAAGAAGACAATTTACTTTTTTGTACAGATTCAGTTTTTCCAAACAATTCTTTGTCATTTTATGATTTTTCAATAATTGCTAGTTCTTTCTCCCCAGTGAAAATCATATAGTGACTCAGAGTTGTTAAAAAAAAATCTATACCCAAGAGTACCACCAGATTTTAGTTATTACTTGTCTTAAGAGCACTAAAAATGTTTAGGAACGGTGCTTATATAAAAGTGTAGGGGACCAACAGGGTACTGTCCCTTTAAGACCTTCGGGGTTCATGAGAGAGGCCATTTATCCCATTCCACATGTCCAGGGAGGCAGACAAAGGCAATAATTGGAAGAGAGGAAGATGGTCCCAGGGAGCAATCGGTGTGTGGGAGAGGGAATGTACAGGGCCATCCCGTACTATATTCTTTAAAGGCCCCAGGAGCTTTGCTGAGTGGGTGAGGTAAGGCTCCCCTCTCCCCAAGATAGTGCAGACAGGTGCTTGGGATTATTAGATCCACCTGGGGAAGATCAAGAGACTGATTAAGGACTGGGTAGGTGACTCAAAATGAGACTCCAAGCCCAGTCAAGGAGGAGCTGTGTAGGAGGAAGAAATCAGCAAGAGGGCTTTGAAACCCTTAAACCTGAGAGGAGACTTTACAGGCCAAGGAAACAAGGATTTGAAGCACAGGTCCTAGAAGAAGTGCTGAGAAACCCTAATATTTGTGGGGGGAGGCCAAAAGGGGATCTTTGGGGAGCCAGATGGTATTAAATACATAAGACCCCAAGTAAAGACTCAGGTTGTGTATAAAGCAACAGAGGGTCCTGTGGCACCTTTAAGACTAACAGAAGTATTGGGAGCATAAGCTTTCGTGGGTAAGAACCTCACTTCTTCGGGTGCAAGTAATGGAAATGGGTGTGTATAAGTTATTTTTGGAACCTCAAAGGGAAACTGAAACAGTGCCACCTTAGGCTACAAGGGTGCACCTGGGATGGCACCTGGGTACAAAGACTATTGATGAAAAGTGTCAAGACAAGAAAAAAATTAATAAATAGTATTATTAAGACCACTTTCAACACTCTAAACTGGCAAAATTCACACACATATAGTATATACTGTAGGCTCATGGCAGGCACCATGGCTTAGCTGGCTAAAGCACCTGTCTAGTAAACAGGAGATCTTGAGTTCATTTCCCAGCAGTGCCTTGTTGTATAATTTTTGGGGGAGGGATAACTCAGTGGTTTGAGCATTGGCTTGCTAAACCCAGGGTTGTGAGTTCAATCCTTGAGGGAGCCATTTAGGGATCTGGAGCAAAAATCTGTCTAGGGATTGCTCCTGCTTTGAGCAGGGGGTTGGACTAGATGACCTCCCTTCCAACCTTGATATTCTATAGACATTTCTATACCAGATCAAGCCAATGGTCCAGCTAGCATATCTCCAACAACTGCCAATGCTGGATGCTTCAAAGGAAACATTAAAATCTCCATGATGCCTTTCACAGTGAAATACTATACCCTGGAGACATTCCTTCCTGGTCTCATTTGAGGCCAGATTCTGATTCTCTTGCTCCCACTGATTAGTACCTTACTCCACATGTAGTCCCACTGAAGTCAATGGGTCTACCTGTGGAGTAAGGTGTGATGCTGTATGGGCAGCCTGGAGGTCAGTCACACACCCCACTGCAGAAGTCACAGAGGTCATGGAAAGTCATTGAATCCATGACTTCCGCAATCTCTGTGACAGACACAGAGCCCTAAACATGAGCTACCAAAAACACGCACTGAGCCGGGGGGGGGAGGGGGGAGGGAAGAAGCTCCAGGAAAAGAGCTATATGTAATTAGCCTACAAAATATATTTAAGCAACTTGTTACTGGTAACTGTTTAAGTATTGGAAGTCACAAACAAAAAATGAGAGAAAAGCTCTTTACACAGGATACCAGTATTAAAACAGGTAGTAATGGAATTAATTGAAAAAATGAATCTAGCTTAACTAATAGCACAGCATCTTGACATTAAGATCAACAAAAGTGTGGAACAATTTGCCTAATGAGGCAATAATAGCACATTACTAAGCATCTTTAAGCAGATGCTAAACGTAAGAAAATAGAATAAGGCTCTCTGTCATTGATGGAGGGGGCAAAAAATGATGATACAAGAGGCCCCCCTCCAAAACTCATCATCTGATGCTATGATGAGTATAACTGAAGTACCTTATTCACTTGTTTAAAAAGGAAAGTTATTAAGCACTTTTTCCACTGTTCAGCCTTGAAGGGTGGTCTAAATTGGAGGGTTTTTTTAAAAACCCGAGTTAATTGATTGCCAGTGAACTTGAGTGGCACATGCTAACTCAGCAAACAAGATGCTCAGTTTTACTGCCACAAATATCAAGGAATTTCAAAGTCACATGCGTGACTAGTCACAAGAACTGAGAGCAAGGCCTGGTACCAACAGTGAAAGGAAAGGGAAAAGGTGGCTTATCCAGCCAGCTGGGGATTCTCCACTGTAGAGGAAGCATGAATGCTATAAAGCCAGCTCTGTACTACCAATCCCTTCTGGCCTTGGCAAAGTGCACGGCTGCAGTAGAAGAGGTATGGCCAGAGCACAAGTGCACTCTGGTAATATCTGGCTGCTGGAATGGTCCCTTGGGAGCTGCTGAAGCTGGGTGATCATTGGAGCAGCCCTGAGGCATCTCTAACTTGTGACACAGCCAAACAACCCCAGGATAGGGCATGTGTGTGTATAAGTGGGCACCTTTGCCCAACCTCATTCCTTGCTACCTGAAAAATGCATGTTGAAATTGCACCTGGACTCATCCAGATAGGAAACAAATATATGTAACTTATCTGACCATCATAATTATCAACACAGCTCTGATTTCAAATGTATGCCACCAACCTGTAGTTCAAAAAGAACACCAGAAATGTATTAATTGAATACATTTCAACAAATAAATTCAGGGAAATAATCTCAAGATATTCTGGAAGAAGAATTTTCTCAAATTTAGCAGTCACCAATAAACTGGAAACAATGGCAGTTTTATAGTAACTTATAACGTTTCACATAATCAACTAGGGAATATAAAATAATGCAACTTAAAATGTCACTGTAGGGGGCCTATATTTATTTCCTCTCAGTGGCTCCATATCAAATTTGTTCAGTTTACAGGTTTTTTTTTTCTAACTGCCAACTTCACCTAGTATCTGCATTGCGTTTGGTCTCATGTACTTTCACCAATAGGAGACTTTTCCATTGTAACTGGGTTGCAAATTCTGTTGGTGATGTATGATTAAGAGGAGAAGCAGCTCACTCTCCCACACCAGTGATTGTATTAGCTCTGCACAGTAGGAGTAAAAAGTGATTACAAACTTTTTTGTGAAGAAATGAAACATATGTGACCTGATACATACATATGAAAAAAGTATGTTGCATCAGAAGGTGCCATTTGCAGTTACTTCTCTGACCAGTCATACTGAATTAGTGCAGATTCTACTTACCACTGTTAAATGTTGCAATAGGTATACCACATCAATCATGTCTGCCAGAATCAGAAGTCTAGTGACAGCAGCCAGAAGGAAGCGTGCTGCTTGAACAACAGCTTTCCTTTTAGGCAGATAACAGGGATCATTGGTAAATTCCCTTGCTGATGCACTTAAAGCTTCACCTGCAAAATAAATCCACAAATTCTCTTAGGGTACATTCCAAAGCTACAAATGTTAGGCAACATAATTTAACTGCATCAATTATTTGGCATATTGAAAATGTTGTCAGTTGAACTGGCATGTTATTAATATCTTACAAAGAGGATCATAAACAGTTTTCTCAGCTAACCCAGATCATTGACACTTACCTGGCTTTGCAGTGCTGTGGAAGAGATGTTCCATGGAGATATTTTATATACATATGAGAGAAAGGGCTCCCTCACAGAACACCATTGTAATCTAAGGGAAAGAGCACTGGAAGCCAGAAGGCCATGAGTTCTAAGTTTCTCTCTTCTACTCACTGCTGTCCATATTTATGCACTTTGAAATCCTTACTGCTGATCAATGGCTCATACCCTGATCATGGGGGGGGAGAAAAGTATCATATTGCCTATAAATTAATGGAAAGATTCTAACAGGTCTAGAAATAGAACCCATGTTTTAATTATTACAGGCTGAATTTTCATACACTCAGGTCACACGGCCTCTCAGACAGAATGTGCCAGATCTATGTATCGTAATCACTGCTTTTGCTATTAGACCACACGCCCCTCCAACAGCAGGAACAGATCCCAGGAATATGGAAGGCCAAAAATTTTCTGCTCTATAGAAAGTTATTGCATAATCCATGGGTAAAGTGTGGGTCACATTCTCCTCTAGGAGCTAGTCCACAGAAGATGAGACACCTTTAGTTTAAGTGGGAAAGATCTGTGCAGAGAATTTGAAGATCCTGACTTAAAATCCCACTATCGAACACATGCAGGAAATCTCCTTTATGTTTGCAAATGATGGAATTTTTGTTTTTTAGTTTTCTTCTTAAACAACTGTTATTTTAAATTGACAAGTGCATCAATCAAATCAAATGTGTGCAAACTACAAACTCTATCATGCATCATCTAGACCACTAAAACTATCATCTCTAACCTAATGCCAGTCATAACCCCCTCCATAACAGCAGCATCCACTGTGTACCAATCCTGGTGTAATAGGTCATCCTGTTCCTGGTTTAATTAGCCCTGCCCTACCACACCAGTGCTTAAAAAGGGAGGAAGCCCAGCAATTTGGGGCTGGTGGTGGAGAAGAGCAGTTAAACTGAAGAGAAGAGCTAGTTCCCATGGCAGGTCCCTGGAACAAGGAGCCAACGTCAAGGGAGGCAGACCTGGGGCTGGTGTTCCACAAAGAGAACAGGGAACTGAAGAAAAGCCAAGGAGGGGTGGAAAACTATTGTGTTTTACTGGAACCTGGACTTCCAGGAGGGAAAAGCCAGGAGAATCAATGACATATTAAGAGTGAGGAGAATCTGCTCAACATTTTAGATGTCTATACCCAAATCCAAGGAGCATGAGGTATAAAAGCAGGAATTGGAAGTATTAGTACATAACCTAAATTATTACTTAATGGCATCACTGAGACTTGGTGAGATAAGTCTCCTGGCTGGAATACTGGTATAGAAGGGATAGCTTATTTTAGTTCAGGAAGAACAGGAAGGGGGGAAAGGGAGTTGATGTTGCATTGTACATCAAGAATATATACACTTGTTCTGAGGTCCAGAAAAAAAAAGGCAAACCAGATGACAGCCTTTGGGTGAAAGTAGGGGTGGGGGGACAAAGATGATATAGTAGGTTATAGACCACCAAATCAGGAGGAGGTGGAGGATGAACAGGAGGATAGTACACAGGAAAGTCAGAGGGAAGAAGGAGCGAGCATTAATTCCTGGGATGAGTGGGCAAGCTTGTTTCTGTGTGGGTTTTCTTTTGGCTTACTTAAAATTTACAGTGTGGTTTGTTGGGGATTGTGTGTTTGGGGACTGTGTGGAAATGGGGGCCAGAGGCCTCCTAGCTGGCAGCTGAATGGACACTAGCAAGGCTCTAGCCTCCTGCCCTTTTCATCACCCTTCCCCTGTGTGTTAACAAAGGGGTAGGGCTGACCCAAGAGAGAAGGGCTTAATAGACAGGCACTAAGCAACCAAGGGGAGCTAGCAAACACGAGGGTTTGAGAGGGAGGCTTTAGGAGGGAGAAAGTACAAAAATCAGCATGGTTTGAAAAGCCCACATAGCCAGTGACAACACTGCTCTTTGCTCCTCCTCCTGGGCCTACATCCAGATAGGGAACCCAACCATGGATGCCTTTACCCAGGCCCTGCTGTGGATTTGCAGAGACTGTGGCCTTCATTTCCCTGTTACATCCAGTGGGAAAGGTGCCTTCTGGTAGAATCTCTCAGGAAGCAGGTGAGAGCTACAGGAAGTGGTGGCTAGGGTGAGGAGCATCCATGCACATGAGGAATTAACTGAAAATATGCATATGGAGTTCTCCAAGGTTGAGGAAGAAATCCATCTGGAGAGGACTTCAGTAGTGCCACCATGGGAGGAGGAAATGGCTCCTTCGCAGCGAGGAGGCTGGCTGTGGTTACTTCTGGTAGCAGACACCACTCAATCCCTGCTCCCAAAACTGCTCCAAACTAAATGAGGGTCAGCAATATAATACTGTTGCAAAAAAAAAACCCCAAACATTATTATGGGATGTATTAACTGGAGTGTTGTAAGTAAGACACGAGAAGTAATTTTTCCACTCTACTCAACACTAGTGAGACCTCACCTGGGTTATTGAGTCCAGTTTTTGGCATCATGATTTAGGAAAGACATGAACAAATTGGAGAGAGAGTCCAAAGAAGAGCAACAAAAGTGATAAAAGGTTTAGAAAACCTGACCTATGAAAAAAGGTTAAAAACCTGGGCATGTTTAGTATTGAGAAAAGAAGACTGAGGAAGGACCTAATAACAGTCTTCAAAAATGTTAAGGGCTGTTATAAAGAGGATGTGATCAATAGTTCTCCATGTCCAGTGAAGATAGGATGAGAAGTAATGGGCTTAATATATAGCAAGAGAGATTTAGGTTAGAGTTTTTCCTAATATCTACCTATAAAGATAATAAGGCTCTGGAATACTCTTCCAAGTAAGGTTGTGGAATCCCCCTCAGTGGAGCTTTTTAAGAATAGATTGGACAGGCACCTGTTAGGGATGGTCTAGATATACATAGTCCTGCATCAGTGCAGGGGGCTGGACCAAATGACCTCTCAAGGTCCTTCTGGTGATTCTATAAGAACTGTGAGTTGAGCCCAGGAGGGGATTTTTTTTTATGCTAACTTGGAACTACTGCTGAAGGTGGTGTTTATTTTGAGAGGTTGTGTACCCTGGAAGGGGACTGAACTTTTATGTGGCCTGGCGAAGACCTAGATGGAGGTGACCAACAGAAGGAAATGACCAAGGGAAAGATCCAGCAGGTCCACATCCAGTCACAAGGGAACACTGTCCTTTGAGTTGCTTCTGTGCACATGGGGCTTATTCTGGGGCAGGATCCTAGGACACCCTGCTCATGTAAAACCTTGTTTTGCTGAAGCTTTTGGATGTACCTGAAACCTTTCAAGAAAAAGTATTGGGGTTTTATTATACTACTAAGACAACACACTTGTGAACTACTATGCACACAAACTGAGCAGTGCAGGTGCAAGGAATAAAATCCCAGGATACAGGAAAATATTGGACTGGTGTGTGTTATTGCATCAATCAATGGAAGTTTAGTGCTTCCTCTGCTCAGTATTACGTCATTATGAGCTACCTTGTGCATTTAATACACAATCCTGTGATAGGATGATGAGGCAGTAGCCAGGTTGCTATGGGAGTCTCAGCACGAATTTCCTCAAGGGAAATTGCCTATTGCAGAGAGAGTTTGCCACCTTTTTTCAGGGTAAAGCATATGTCTCCCTCCATTTCTAACTATATCTACTGGATGGATCCATGGCCTTGCCCTCACACCCTGTTCCCTTGAGGAAGGCTAGCACTGCAAGAACATAGGAAAGCATAGTTCCTGTGCTCTCCAGCCTTTCAGACTCAGTCAGACACAATGATTTCATCTACAATGGCATTTTTCTTAAATTTCTCCCAATTTGCACTGCCATTAGTGTAGCTCCACGAGTGGGAGCAACAATAAAAGCACTAAAAAATAACTCCCTTATAGCTTTATCACTGTCATCCTTACCCATTCTGAGCAGATTTGATGGAATAGTGGCAAAAATGCCAGCAATCAGTTTACACTAGTGTGTCCACCTTTGCTATCACAAGATTTTAGTAGTGGTGCAGCTCTGGGAGAATTTAAGAAAAATGCCAACATAGAAACATCTAATCTCACACTCTGTAGCTGAACTGGAAAATCCTTGCTGTACCAGGTCAAAGGGTTATAACGTTCTGCCCACTAAAATGCTCTACATCAGCAGAAGCTAAAGCCAGATCTGAAATCCTAAAATGAATAGTTTTGCTAGCTAAAAATCAAATGATACCATTAAAGGTAAGTGTAGCCTATTAAGAGACTACAAATACTTGAAGGAAATTCTTGATGTGTCAAATGACTGTTTATTTTAAAGATGCCTTTAGAAATACTGGCTAGTCTTAAGTGTAAACAAGCTGTTACTTTCAATATCTATGATCTTGATCTATAATATGCCAAGAGTGCTAATAATATTAATTTAACCATAAGCATACAAGAATCCTTGGAGTATATGTAAAGAGAAAAAAGTCAGTAGGAATCATTTCTCTCCCTTTATTTCTGTACTTTATAAGCTGATATCTTAAGATAATTCATATTTCAATATATTATTCAATATTTATCTTAGCTTCAAAATATCTTTTCCAATTAGAAATACCTTGAAGATAATACATTTGACATTACACAGAATTTGCCATCTCTTCTTTAGCTACTATCATTAAAATGAAACCCTTTATCATTTAAAAATAGGCAAAAAAATTCTTCACTTAGGGACCAATTCTGTAGAGAATAAGGTGACCAGATCACCCAGGTCAAATATCGGGACGCAGGGGGGGGGGAATGCGGGGGAAAAAAACGGTGGCAGAGAAAAAAAAAACCCTCCTCCACAAGCGCTGGAGGGAGGCCCCGGAGACGCAGGGGGAGCA